CCAAACCAGCCATTTGCCACTAAAAAAAAAAAAAAGTGAAATAGGATATAATATGATTTCATTACTTTGTAGCATTTCATTACTTTGCTTTATAGTTTAAAATTTTGCAATTTGGTGTTGATCCATCCAATCTTAACGTCACCGTTGGCAGACTCAGCTTTTCTAAGAACTGGACTTTAAAAGTCAAAATTATGGCCAATCTTTCTGAAAATGTTAAATGAACAGGGAAATAAAGGGAAACGTGCAGTTACTAAGAATCTCAAAAGTAGAGTTACGTCTCTCCATCTTTTGTTTTCACTGCAAACCACTCAGCTGATTTTTGTGTTCCTGCTCATAAATCCAGAGGGAAGGCTGTGGGTGGCGGGCTGCATGGATGTGGGAGGATACACTGCCATCTAATAGTGGAATCAACCCTTTCAGTTGACAAAGACAACATCCACATCTTTAGATGGTTTATTTGATCTGCGTGAAAGAGTGGCAGTGGTATTTCTGGCACTTGAATAAGCGGAAACAATATTTTTGGCTAGAGAAACTTCTGAGTTCTCTCAGGGAGCCTTCTAGAAGGCCATCTGGACCAAGCAGTATTTCTTTTGTAAAGCCCTGCATTTGGAAACAGAAATGAAAGGTGTGAGAACAGCAATCAGACACCTATGAAAATGATCAGCTTTCAATATTTTGGTAGGAGGGATTTATTACTGTTTGTAAAGTTTCCAGATGAAGAGACACACATAAGGAAAAAACCTCTTTCTTTATTAAGAGATACATTTCCAGTTTGTATTTCAGTAGAAGATGTGTTTAGTAATGTGAACTTATCAACTTGCACTATTTTTCTCTCTAGAGTGAAATTAGAATGACTGTTCCCTGTGATATTTACAGTTGTTAGTCAGGTAGTGATCTTGTTTTTGACATTTGCAATTGTTCACTGAACCTAGAATTTAAAGATGAACGCTTCCCCTTCCTCAGTCTTTAGCCAACTTGTGAAGCTATAACGAATGGGAAAACATTAAAAAAAATTAAACGAAATCCTTCCAAAAACCAAACAAAGCACTTAGAGCCAGGATACGAATACAAGAGAATGTTTGGAAAACTGAAAATGAAGCAAAGCCATATCTGTAGCCAGATACTGCAAAATATGAATATTCAAGCAAAGTGTCTTTAACAATTTTACACACATAATACACTGTACTATTCTTTCATATTTTTCTATTAGAGTCTCCATTTAGAAAGAAATAGTAACCTCCTGTATTAAGATTTCCTGTGATTAGTGATTGTTTTAAAAAAGCAACGGGCTGTTTCCTTTAGCTGTCATTTTTGCCTAAGAAGTAACGAATATGGAAAGATAAAAACCTTAGCAGTAAGTTCATAATATAGATTTGAGAAAATACACGTTAGCATACATACTTGAATGTATATATGTTGTATCAACATGTATGCTATATGTATTTGTTTATATAAAATTATCATTTTTCTTGATATCAATATTAGCTAATTTGCTTGAGATGTTTTCAAGTATCCAACTTTTATAGCATATAAAATTCTTTACTGATAAAAAAACCATTAAAATCATATTACTTTAATAAGCAATACTAAATTCAGTTCTGAATGAATTTTCAAATATTAATGGAATCACCACTATTATTAAAAAAAGACATAAAAATGGAATTAACTTTTAAGGAAATCCTTTACAAATTTAAAACAAATCACGTGGAAAGGATTTACCCTGGCTAAAGGCATTTTACCAAATAATTAGAAACTAAAATAATGGCAAGCAGGTTGTATCTCAAAATACATTTTTCTGGAAGGATGGAAGAAAAGTCAGTTTGATTAATATTGTGGCTGGAGGCCTTACAGCTGATGTTGACTAAATTAAAACCATTTTAGTTGATGGGAATTAACATAAGAGCACAGATTATTTGGAATGTTTAAAGTTTTTCCAACAGATTTTAATAAGATAAGATAACCAAGAGTCCCTACTGTCAGTCTTCAGCCCTAACTCTGATTGCTGAGGGCTGTTGTGCCAGGCAAAATTTTCTAGCCTGAAAATACCTCTCAGTTTCCTGAAACAAAGCAGTCACAAGCATCACTGCCTGCCAAACAGGGACAGATGATATGAGTTGATTGTTACTTGTTTTAACGTAAAGTGGTTATCCATACGAAGGACACCAAACTTTATTTCCTTAGAACTTTTGATTAAAACACCCCCAAAATTCTGTGATCCCAGGTCCGAACATCAATCATTTATCTGCTCATGGTCTAAGTAGTCCCATGAACTTTGTCATTTGGAGAGGACAGGAAGAAAAGGTAGTACTTTTATTTGTGAATAATCGTAATGATTATTACTATAGAAAACACGAATGACCCAGCACCCGCTGTGGAACTTCAGCTCTACCTTTCATGTTTGGGCCAGATAGAATTTAAGATGAGAGCAGGATGAAGCAGAGAAAAGCAAAGATACGTAATTTTTCCTTCTTGGGTCATTTCTACTTAAAAGCATTACTTGAATAAAATTTTCATCAGAGGGAGAAAAAAGGCCTTTTGGAAATTTATGACTGTCACACTAGGACACAAACCATCCGTTTCCTATCTTTGAGACAGTCATCTGGGCTTGGCACAAACTATCTGAGGGTTCATGTTTTCATCAGTGATTCACATTTGAAATAAAACAGACTAGAGGTCTGTTGGAAGCAATACTTTATATAATTGTGCAACCTATTTATACGAAATCTTTACAAACAGAACCCACATTATTTAAACCCCAAGATCCCCTCAAGATCCAGGGTCACCTACCTGCAGATCCAATTTCTGTGACCAGCCAGTTTATAGGCAAAGTGAAAGAAACATGCTAACTGGATAAAATAACCATATGTCCCTACTGGAAGCCCCATTACTTGAATCATTTCAACCTTGCTGGACAAAACACCAGGAGAATTTGCTGTAGGAAACAAACCTCCACAAATGGGGCAGGGAAGAAATTACCTAATAGTTAGTCTCCCCTCTGCTCTGATTTCTGTGGTTCTGTGTTAAGAAAAGCCGTCCTGCCACACTGTGGTGAGAGCTTATGCCTCAACGAGAGGGCATTTCTTATTTAAAAAAAAAAAAAAAAAAAAAAAAAAAAAGTCTAGAAATGAACATTTAAGTTGCCATCGTCAAAAGATAGGCAAACTTTGGGAACATTTTCCCAGGGAATAATGCTTTTCAAGATACAATGGAAAAGGGTCATTTTCTTCATTCAAAAACTTAAATGCTGAGAAAAGCACATGTTTCTGGTTTGACTTCTGTTTTCTGGCTACTGAAATTCAGGGTAACCTCTCCTATACCCCTACCTGCTTACAATGCCAAGTGGCCTCCTTTGATACTACCCCTTGTGAAACCCAGCTTGGATGGGTCACAGACACACTGCTGGCCTAGACTGGAACTCTGCTCTCTCCTTTCAATGGTCCACATGCTGCCTCAGGTTCCTGTTTCACCAGGAAGTGTTTATAAGATGCATGTCCTCAGCTAGCACAAGGCACGTGGCAGAGGTATAGAGCATTCAGTGTGGGTGTGCATGGGCAGGGACGCGAGAGAAGAGGGTGGATGGAGTTATTTGCACATATGAATGAGAGTCCGTGGCTCTTCTAGGTGAATATCTTCATTTATTCATGGGAATCTTGATTTGGGGTTAAGACACAAAAATGGACCTTAAACACAAGGTCAACTTAAAATATTGTTTCTATGAAAGGCATTACTTTTCTGATGGCCACTGTTGATGTGAAATGGAAGGAAGAATGCTGTTTATCATGAAACTGGTTTAAGTCCAGATTGGATATTTCCAATGTAACATATTCTGCCTTTGGATATTAAGTGTGAGTTTGTGCAAAGACAAGCTTGCTGGTGTGCGTGTGCCCATGTGTGCATGGGTTGAACGTGGGCATCCTTAGGGGATGACCTATTTAATACTGCTGCCCACTTTGGCAAGTACTGGGATTTTCAGGTGTCCTTGCCGCTAGTAAAAAGCACAAGGGACATGTCTCACGTGGATGTCACAGGTTCAGGGTCCCACTAAAAAAACAGGATTTTTTTTCCTTTTCCTTTTTTTTGGCAGGGGGGAGTGCTTAATATAAATTTTCGATATTCTTTCCCCTCAGTAATTTTGCATTGTAGGTATCAAAACTTTACTCCTTCTGGAGGTCACAAGGCTGAGTTTAGAGATCACCTCTAGGATAGATTTATAAATGTTAACTTTCCCTCCTATCCTCTTAAAAAGAGGCAAACGGTATTATTGCAAATAACCTTTAAGATAATTAACTGACAATGCTGCAACTAGCATAAAATCTTCCTTCAGGCGACACCTAATTTAAGTGTTACTGGCACAAAGTGGAGACAGATTGTGCATTACCACTGCAATATTTACATAGCAGAAACCCACAGAGCAGGAAACGCGAGGCTCAATGATGCACTAAATTAGGAACAACCGTACTCCAGTGTTAATTTGCTTTCTATTCCATCCAAATCTCAGGTCCAGAAATTGGTACAAACACATATACAACCTCCCACTCTTAAATGACTAAACCGGAGGAGATTTCTGTACTTCCTCCTCCCCCCCCCAAATTAAAATAACTTGAAATTTATTTCTTTCCTCCACAAGAACCATTTGGTCAAACTGTGTTTATTTCATTACAACTTGTTCTCACTTTGATCTAAAATTATTTTCATATGAATGCTGCACAGAAGTCTGTAGAAAAAAACTAAATAGACTTCTCTTTTCTCTAAGGCTGCCAATATATTTTATGAAAAGAATAAAATGAGAGACTTGAGAGCCAGTTAGTGAAATATTTAGGAACATGGGCAGGGCAAATCTACCTGAAGCAATTTTCTCACTGGTGAATGTTTTTCCCTCCCCTTCCGTTCTCCCCAGATACGATGAGTTTTCTTAAACCATTCACAAAACATATTTGTTTCATTCTTCCCGACAGTATTTTAAACACTACTTTCACCCAAGGCATTAACAAAACGTTTACCTTTCCTAATTGTTGATGTTCTTTAAAGGCAGCAATCAGTTCTTCAGCCCACTTAATTTTTTCAGGGGAAGGAGAAAACTGCTCCTGGACCACAGCAATTTGGTTAGGGTGAATCACCTGCTTACCTACAAGAAGATTAATAACATCAGAGCCATGAAACAACAAACGGATGCTCAAACAAAATGTTTCGATCAGGTGAGGTTCCTGAATGCCTCACAGACTGTATGTTAAATAACGAAGTTAAAACTTTTTATGGAAAAAAAACAAAACAAAACAAAACCTGCAATCAGACAGGCTCTTCCAGAATACCACATAAGAACAACAACAATGGAAGTAATTGTGTTTCCGATCCTATAGAAATGCCACCTTAGTGAAGATAATCTCTTATTTTTAGTTACAGGTGGGCTGACTAGGCAGCTTGTTGAATAACTACTTTGGCTGGGACTTTAAAGGATAACGTCTGCAAATTAGAGCGATTATTTTGAGGTGAAGTAGAAAAAAATTAAATGAAAATTCTCTCATTTTCTAAGTTGTCTTTTGCTTTCTTTGTAGGATTATACTTCCTTCCATGATTTATTTTAGAAGTGGTCTGCTGGTTTTCATAAAGCTTACAGATGCGGCCATGACAACTATATTATTATCAAATACAGTCTTACAATAGTATATTTAACTTGTTTTTCTTTTGGATGAACATAGTTTATGTGTCATTTCTAATCCCTAACAGAAAATTGGATTTGAATAAAAATACTGTATTCGGTATGGTAAAATAGAAGGCAGATTTGAACACTGCAGCCTCTAGATTACTCCATTTAAAAATTTAAAAACTAGATACTTACAGAAAGTTTCTCTGTCCAAAAATATATCCAGATTTTCCCTTTTGGCTTATAGAATCAAGAGTGTGTACTTCTCTCTTTAGAGCACCTTACATACCCCAGAAGAAATCTTATCTCTGTCGAAATGCCTTCCAAAATGATTTATGATTCTTCTTATAGTCAAAAGATTTTAAATAAAAACATCATACAAAGGTAAGAGCCACAGGATTTTGTGAAATAATGCAGTCATTTAAAAAAACAATTTAACAACCAGGGAAGTGTGGAATCCAATCGGATGACTAATAAAATGCAACATAATTTAATGCTATAATAATGATGAGATTATATTGTGTTACATGATAAAGTTATGAGCATAATTGGCTCTTTAAAAATGATTGTACACTTAATGATCATTTACTCTGCTAAATATATTTGTTGGTATATCAATTTGCTTTGCTTTTGAAATAGTTATTTTAACATTTAGACAGTACAAATTATATCCTTGATATTTTGTATCCTTGCTATCAATTCCTATTACTTGTTATTATTCTGTTTGAATGAAAAAAAGGAATGGTGCCTGTAAAAACAGATTTTTAGTGTTTCATGTAAAAGAGTTTAAGTGGATAAATAATATATTTTCTTTCCAATGGCATAACTAAAACATCCTTACGTTGCTATTTCATTCTTTTCTGTCAGCATACTCATAAAACGTTAAACACTTATATAAAGAAAGATTATTCAAATTACCTGAGGAATAATTTCTGGGTATGAATAACATGAGGGATGACAAATGAGGGCTTTTTTCAGTTGCAGGTATTGAGATTATATTTAAGTAATCTAATAGTTGTTAGGATATTATTAATAAAGGATGTCAGTTCTGGGAGTCATTTCCTACTAATTGTTAGCCCTGGATTTCTTAATTTATGTACATAATTTACACCAATGTGTAAAAGGCCAGATTTCATGGGAACTTCTTGGTACATGCACTATAATTTGAGGAGCAAACATAAATGACTTAAAATACTGTGAAATCACGGCTGGCTCTCCATTCTTTAGTACCTATATTTTGGCAATGAGGCTAATTTTGAGCTACATGTTAGGTTTTAGAAATGTATGAACATTCATATGTGAAGTTCTCTTTTGTCACATCTTATGTATTCCAACAACTGTATAGTGAACTTTAATGCCATGTGGGAACCAGGCAAATATTTTATACAGAAGAGTTGTTATTGACAAGTTACTGAGAGGGTGCAAAATTGGAAGACATTAAAATTTATGACCATGAAATCCTTTTTACAGTACCGCTTGATATATCGTGCTTTAAATCAATACCTGTCAAGTCTTTTAGGTAACTGTATGATGGTGTCATTTTTGTCTTCTACAATAGACTGCAAAAAAGAAGAAAACCTATAGAGCTTCATATTTATAATCTGCCTTCTCAGCATGGAGCACTGGAGTAACTGTAATAACTAAGTCAGCTGTTAAAGCTTTATTCCAAGATTTCGTTTTGGTTTCTTTTTTATTAAAAAATTCCTAGCGTTAATGGCCATTTATACAGCCAATGCATTGATTTAAAATCAATCGACATGGATTGAGATTCTGGGAAATGACTGTAGAAAAGAAACTACAGCTAACCTTTAAAAACCACAACTCATTAAAAATCTGTATCATTTTTTAAAGTACGGGAAATCCTATAGCACAGACTTACGGCTTCCTTACCAGTGTATGGATAATGCAGTACTTTGGCTGGATTTTAAACCTTTCCACCACCTGCTTCAGATGAGGCATGTCTTCCTGCCTCCTTCCCTCCCGCCCTTTTCCCCCCTTTTCCTTTCCTTTTTTTTCTTTCTTTTCCTTCTGCTTGTGCAAAGCCCAAGGTATGGTAATCAAACGCCAAAAAACGAGGATGAACAGACCCTGAGTGGTCTAAAAATGCTCATGAAAAAACATTTATTTTTTTAAATGACTACAAATAATGTTCTCTCTTATCTGATCGATTACCTCTTATTGGTATGCAGAAATACAATTGGGACAGCAAAGACCTTCTCTCTAAAAATTGCAAACTGCCTACAAAGTGCGGCTCCCTAGTTATGGCCCGGTTCCCTTGAATACATAATGGGCACCGTGCCCTCTGTGCCTTGCCATTATCCTTGCTTCCCTCCTTTTTTTTTTTTTTTTTTAGCGATTTAATACTCCCCGTTGTGGAGAAACAATAGTGCCAGGTCCATAAGCTCCTCGTGCTGAGTTGGGCACAGTCTAGAAATTTAAACCTGATTTGAAATAGCCTGTCTTCTGCGATTGAATTAGGGGCCAAGTTAATTCAGTTCTGTATCTTGGAGACGCTCTCAAGCTCCCGGAGAAGAAGTTCTGGGGCAAACGTTTACCCCAGAGGAGGCAGAGGAAACTCAGATTCTGCTGAGTGATGGTGGAGGGGTCAGTGTCAATGCAGTGCTTTCTCTTTTTTATGGAAGTAATTCCCATTTCAGAGCAACATCTGGCTGCCTGGCAGCCAGTGCCATACATTTCAGGCCAACAACATCAGGGTTTATTAGATAAATTTCATGGAGTTTTTCTCCAACTTTTCCATGTGGGTCGCATCCTAACCAGTCGTTGGAAAGAAGCAGGAACAAGCACAATCCCATGGATGTGGCAGAGGACTCCTCTCTTCCTCAGTCACTATGAAATGCAGGGAGGATTCGTTTATTAATGGTTCAGATAATTGAAGAATATTTCTCTATACGGGATCACATTTATTTAAAAAATTGAGGGGATCATATTTAGCTCCTTGTGTAAAAAACACAAGAACAAACTCAGAGCTTTATTTAACTAGAATATAACACTAAAATAGCTTCTTAGGTCATTCAATTTTATTTTGGACTAAATCATCACCCATTAAGATATTTTTTACATTTAAGGCTGCTTAATGAAATGTTTCTTTTGGTAACTGCTACCTAGATACATTTAAAAAAATATTTATAACAGGAGTATCAGGATGCTTGTCTCTTTTCCTTATGACTCGGGCACCTTTCTGATATTAATATTCTTAGAACTTTCAACAGAAGAACAGGTAAGAGTGAAGGAGTGCATCGTGCTTTCCCATGGTTGTCAGTGTGTGTGTGTGTGTGTGTGTGTGTGCAACTGCATGTGTATGTTTATGTGTAGAATCCTATTTTGGTTTTTCAAAAAATAGATCTCTGTTGTAAAAGCACAATTTTCAGTTGCTCCCCTGGCTCATGGGGACCTGAGTGACCAGGCACACGAATCAACAGATACCCGCTTGTGCCCCAGACCGGACTGCAAGGGACCCGCTGATCCTAGTGTCAGCCTATGCCCGTAGGTGTCACCAGCCTATGCCCGTAGGTGTCCGTGTGAACACTTACTGGGAGGCAGGAGAGAAAGGAGGGGCTTGCACAGGCAGAAGAGCAAAAAACTAGTTATGAGTAAAAAAACAAAACCAAACCAAAGACAATATCACCAAGATTTTTTTTTTCCAGAAATGAATTAAAATTTGAAAATTCTAAGAGATTTTTCTCCCATCCTTCAACCAAAATTCTAACGGTGGTTTACTCAGAAACACTTTTTTTTTTAACAGTCTCCTCCCTCCCTACAGGTCAGCCAAGCACTACAACAAAATGATTAAGAGGATGGGGGGGGAAAGGGCAACTAATATAAAGAGGAAATAAAATAAGTGATTTGTTGTTTGACTTGCGGGGCCAAAGAAAACCATGACAGTGTGTCTGGCAAGTTCTTCCCCTGCGGGGCTTTTTTATGTTTCAAATAGTGGGATAAGTCTGGGGGATGCCTGATGACATCAGAAGAAGTGTTTTGGGTCAAATTCCTACTTTTCGGGAATGCTTGCTAATTTAGACACTGCTTTCTAAGACAGGAATCATACCAGTGAAGCCCATCGCGGCTCCTTCTCGCGACTGTCTAAGAAGCCCATCTCCATCTCGAAAGTCAATGTACACCAGATCTATGGCCTGGAGACCAAAGGCTTTCGCTACGACAACAATCTTTTGCCGGGCGTAGAGAATGTCCAGGGTTTCTTTGCTACTTGTTGCACCTGAAAACAGGATATTAACAGAAAAAGGAAGCTTTAACTTTGGAAACCGAACCCAGACATTGATGATAAAAACTCAGTTTGTGCAGACATCTGTACCTCCCTGGGAATTGCTCCTCTGCAAAATAATTATTCAAATACAAATGAAGACAGGGATACGTGGAGGCCAAGTTAAATCTCACATGTGTGTTTACCTGACAAGGCATCTTTCAATAGAATTACTTCTACCTGCATTAAGAGAAGGCCCCTTCCCCATTCCGGGAGGCTGGGTCAGGGTCGCAAGAGACCTCCTGATATGTTTTTTTTCCTTCTTATCATCGCTTGAAAAGTGCCAGTCTGAAGACAGCACCACAAAAGGTGGCCCAGCAGCTGTGCAGGGCAATGGTTTGCTTTTCACAGCAAGCACAGAATTGTGTGTGCTGTGGCTGGCATGCCCTGTCCAAAGTGAAGTTCTGAGCCAAATGCTTCAGCTTCAGGGTCTGGATGGACAGCTTGGGGAGATGGGAGGGCACTTGTTTTGAGAGGGCCGGAAAGCTTGGATATGCCTTCGATAGCCTGCTGAACTGCTGGATACACAAGTCTCCTGGAAGGACTCACATCAAAATAAATTCAGTTTTTTCACCCTGAGGGGAGGGAAGTGTCCCTATTTATATTTGGAACATGCCACTCCCTGCTCAGGGAAAGTGCTTGTCTTCAGGTCACTGGGACTGATCTCTGTGGCCTTGGCCCCTTTTCTAAATGCTTCACGGTCTCCAGTCAAACACACAGACCCCTCGAGTGCAGCGCAAGAGGGATGGTGAGAATCAGTGAAAATCAGCACATTTAACATGAAGAGTTCAAAAACATATTGTAAGAGAAATTTAAGATCCATTTAAAATAATATTTACATACTGTATATTTTACGTGGAAAACAATTCATTAAGACAAATATGAAATGACCTTAAATTTGCGTTAGAAATCTAGACAGCCCTCATACTGATGTGAAAACAAAATACTGAAGCAACGGTGAGGCTGTTCACATAATATATATATTAGGCACAAAGAAGATGCCAGATATTCCTGAGCATGCCTGGGGCTGCAACAGGCTTTCTATTGCTCATGTCTTTTATAAATGAACACAAGTAATAATGCAGTGTTCTAGAAGCAGGGCAGCTATGAGGAGCTCTAAATTATCAGGAAGTAGCGTCCACTCCATTGTCATGAAAAACCATTTCACGGTTGGCAAATATATATTGTTATGTAAATATCCATTCCTGAGGGGCAAAGACAAAATACACACACACGTATACACACACACACACACAGAAAAAGAGAGAGGTGTTTGACACCTATGCTGGCTCGAAAGTCTTCTCCTCCAAAAACGACTGCATCTAGAAAGAGACCCACTTGAGGCCCGATCTTGAGGGTTTCTTCACACACTGCCTGTAAAAGAGCAGAACAGAACCAAGGCTCACAGAAACGTGTGCGTCACAGGGAAGAGGCACGGTGCGTTTCAGTAACAGGACGACCTGACTCTTAGTTTGGCGAAAGCAGTCCTAAAAACGCAGCCCAAATTTACCCCTTTCAAAGGTATTTAATATCATTCGAGATAAGTATATTGTATATATTTGCTTTGTTTAATGGATTATGTTAATAGAGTTATAATGTTCAAATTGTAGCTCATCTCACTTTTGGAGCAACTTTGAGTTAACTCATTTTGCTTGCACTGTAAGTGATTTATATTTTTCCAGAATTTGTTTTTGCTTTAAGAGACTCTCGTAAAACCATAGGGGAGAAGGAAGGAATTTTAAAGTCAAACTAATTGAATTATTTGCATTAGGATCAAGCACATAGTCTCAGGATTAAAGACAGTACAAAAACCTACAACTCCAGAGGGGAAAATAAAAATGCAACAAGTCATCCAAGATGTGTTGATAAAGCAACTTCGACATTTATATATGAAAGTCGAGGCAAATAGCGTTCGTCATAGACATAACCGTGAATCCTGAAGGGTGGAGATAGAACCTACTAATATATGTGGGTGGGAAAGAAACAAGGAACCCATGGGGACACCGATGATGACTTTCAGACATTGTAAGTGCTTCTAAGTACATTATGGAATAAAATGTTGAAGCAGTGCTTAAAATTAAATCACTGGATGAATCTGGTTGCATCTAAGGGATATGCTTTTGATTATATTCTTAGGATTCTAAGGCTGGCTGGAAGAATTTACGGTTAGTTGTATAAACAAGCTACTCACGGGACAAGGCTTGAAGCAGCTCCCCAAACATTTGCGCTCGACCCCTTCTGCACAGCCCAAGGTCTCAAAGTTGCCGCTCATACATTCTCTCTTTAGTACATTTCGATTATGTTTTTTTCTTTGTTTTTAGTGATTTCTTTTCTCCTGCCCTCTGGGAGGGCTGAGGTAGGGGGAGGGAGTGTAGGAACTCTGAGAAGGGGGTGCTAGATTGATGTTTGCAGGTCAGGTGGAATGAGAGGTGTATTTTGGAAAATAATATAAATGCCTCCTGATAAAAGAGAAAAAATGAGCTAGCTCTGAATTTGTTAAAGCAGGTAGTTTGGTGCAACCACACAATGGCTGAAAACACTTGGCTCAGCTAATATTCCCACATGTATATCAGAAAATGTTCGATGTTCTAATGTGGCAAATTGAAAAAAATGTACTGCAAATTATTTGTGTGCATGAACTTACAAACAATAATCTTATCTGCTAGACATTACTGATAAGGTTGCTACAGAGAGGCCAGAAAATTTCCCAATGAAAAGGCAATTGATAGAAAAGAATATTTCAAAGTTAATTCATAAGGGTGACAAAATAAATTTTCATGTACATTTAGTCTATAAATGCAATAATTCAAAGCATATAATTACACAGTGATTAATTAAAATTGTCACTAGGAATATATAAATGTTTCAATTAAATATTTTGGACTGGGAAGCTTTTCTTCTACTTAACTGATTTCATTGTTTTCTAAGATGCTGGTAACCTGGTTTTTGTGCTATTACAGATAAAGAATGGTGTTCAAGGTTTCCTTTGCTTATAAATCTCTCTAGACACATATTTTAAGAAGATGTTAAAATTGAAAACAAAAGTTCTCCTTAGGTGATAAATAAAATACTAACTTATTAACCATATTATGGTTTTCTTACCTTAAAATTGAGCAAACCCATTGCAGTTTCCACAAAAGGGATTAAATTCATTGGTTGTTCAAGTTTTCGGCCTTTTAAGTGGAATGAAAATTTGTCTGCAAACTAAAATCAGAAGTGTCATAGGTGATTAGTGGGGAAAAAAATGTACAATCACGGACATGTAGACACAGAAGTAGTATTTAAGTCTTTGACCTGAGGGAGTCATATCCAAGCCTCTTTTATCCACACAAAAGAATTTTTTTAAAAAAAGAAGAAGACAGACCAAAGAAAAGGTAATGAAGTTCCCAGCAAACTAAACAGTAAAACCCCGAGCATTACAATTTTTTCTCCCAAAGGAGCAACTTGAGGCCTAGGAGTTAGAACTGGAAGGAGAGAGTATCAACGCTTTCCCTGGAAACATATTTACTTAAGACCTCTTGCCCTCACTTCGTTAAATGCAAATGGTAGGCCCTTAAAACAATGAAGTCTTCCTCTACCTGCCATTCTGTTTTTGTTTCATGCCCAGCACTGACATCAGTGTAACTGTTCAGCAGCCTTCTACATAGAGTCCATATTATTCATTATAGCACTGTTACCCTTTGTTCAGAAGGTTTTTCTTCATAATTTTTTAGCTTACCTAGGAAGACCTTAAAAAGGAAGTTTAATTCTTTGAAGACCAAAGCTCGCCAATTTTTTCCATGAGACCAGTTCACAGCTAGCTCTGTGCTGCCAGTGGGGTAGCCCAAATTCCAAAATCTATCATCTGGAAACATACAAAAGCTCTTGGCCAGATTCCTCCCCTCCTTCAAAAGGGGGAAAAACACACTCTAAATTGTAAATCTATTATGTCTATCTAGATCTAATAAGCTGTGGGGAGATAGAAAAGAAACACAGGTATGATAAAGATATTTTTGTAAATAAAGATGAAAACATATATATCCATTTTAAATTTAAGGAATATTCAGCCATTAATAGATATCAAAGGAAAAGGGAATTTTAATCATCTCTCCATTCAGTCTCAGTTGGGTAAATCATATCTAAGAGATTTGCATAAATATAAACCATCAAAGACTTTTCATCTTCAAAGGGGGTTTCAAGACCCTATAAGCTTTGTACTGTAATCATCACAGGTCACCACCCTGCAGGAATAAGGCTGCTATGGCAACATAAAAAAACTAATGCTTAAGGCTTAGCATAATATTCTGACTAATAGAAAGGAAACTCATTTGAAAAGCTGGCAGCCTATTTACCAGAAGCGGGATTAGAGGTGTTATTTCCCCTTTTAGCTGCCCCCTCCTTGCTGGTGCGCCACCCCCCTAAAAAAATCTAATCACTGGGATCTTTAAAAAGCTTTTGAGCAATTTGCAGTAACTTTACAATTAGGCTAAAATAAATCACAGCTTTCAGTAATGAAGAATTATTCCCAGTTGCTCCCACTGCCCCCCTTCAAAGGGCATCATCATCACCTCCTTAGTAACTTTTCAAGGGAAGGAATAACTCAACCAAAATAGCAAGAAGAAGCAGAGGGCGACAATTTCAGGGGATAAAATGTATAGTATTTGAGGCAGATGAAAATCAAACATAATTTATTTCTCATTTATGCTAGAAAGTGGTAGCACAGTATTAGTGGTGTTGGTGTTAAAAATGTAGCAGGGATTTTTTTTTTTCCTCATTAAAGAAATCTTGCGAAGTGACTTGCCCTATTCTTTGTGGTAACGGTTATAACTTCAAAAATCATAGCGTTTAAAACCAAGTAAACGCTTTACAAGATATTCCCTGTTCTCAGTGAGAAAACGCCTAATGCCTTTTGTTTTTAAGCCAGTAGGGGAATTAAAAATTAAATATTCTAGCCCATCCTCCTCCTCCTCCTCCTCCTCCTCCCCCTTTCTTAAAAAATTGCATTAAGTACTAACACAAAAGGTAACTAGTGGAGAAGTTTCAATTAATTTTTTCAAAAGGAGACGATTAAATGTTTCCGGCCTGGTAAAGTGTTCATTTCAGCGAGGTGGAGGGGACTGGGGTAGGGGGAGGAGAAGAAGGGGGAGAAATCACAAAGAGATTGGGGAGGAGATGAAGTAGCAGGGCTCAGCGATTCTTTCAATTCCAGTGCACACCCAATAGTGTGCTGGAAGAATGCACACTGTTCGGGATTTGTGGGAGAATTGTCCCCTGACAAAGGAGGCAGGGTTACGCTTGTTACAGTCCAATAAGCCGCGCCGGTCAAACAAGAACCCACACTAGCCACAAAAGGCGAGCAAGAGATTCTCACACAAAAGAAAACAAGTAAGCCCATCTTTCAGTTGTGCATCAGGCTCTGGGTTTTATGCTTCCCATAAATACAAACGGAGAGGAAAAAATAAACAGCCAAAAGGACTTCTGTTCACTAGAATTCCGATTTAAATTTCGGTACGTGTCTCACTTCCAAGGATTTAAAACAGCGAACGGGAGCCGTAGCTGAAGGCTGGTGGGTCCTCCCTCCCCCATCTTAAATTAAGGGTAATAATGGTGATAAATAGGCATTAACTATGAAACCAAAAGGGAACAGTGACTTCAGAGTCCATTTCAATCAACTTAAGACATATTTGAATGAGCTCAGGGCCCTTCAGGATATTAACATACTCTGACTAGTATCTCTCAGCTTCTGAGGGGTAACCCTGGAGAGAAGAACTCCAGCTTAGTAAGTAAATATTGGTGCCTGAACACGGGTCTTTAACAAGGATCCAACACAGAGCTGTCCAAACGACACTGTAGAGCAGCAGCTACATACATAATTTTAAATTTTCTCGTAGCCACATTCAGAGGGTGAACTGAAACAGGTGAATTTAATAGTATCTTGTATTCAACCCAACAGATCCCAAGTATTATTTCAATGTGTAATCTATATAAAAACGACTGAGATAATTCACATTCTGTTTTTGTCCCCTCAGTGAATCCCAAGTCTTCAAAATCGAGTGTGTATTTTGCACTTCCAGCACATCTCAATTTGTGCTGGCCACATTTCAATGCTCAGAAGCCACATGTCACAGTGGCCGTGCCACTGGGCGATGCAGACTTGATGCATCCGGGGGCATTCAGAAGGTGAGCCGTTTCATAGGTGTTAAAACCACTCAGGGGGCCGGGCGCGGTGGCTCAAGCCTGTAATCCCAGCACTTTGGGAGGCCGAGGCGGGTGGATCACAAGGTCGAGAGATCGAGACCATCCCAGTCAACATGGTGAAACCCTGTCTCTACTAAAAATACAAAAAATCAGCTGGGCATGGTGGCGCGTGCCTGTAATCCCAGCTACTCAGGAGGCTGAGGCAGGAGAATTGCCTGAACCCAGGAGGCGGAGGTTGCGGTGAGCCGAGATCGCGCCATTGCACTCCAGCCTGGGTAACAAGAGCGAAACTCCGTCTCAAAAAACAAACAAACAAACAAACACACAAAACCAAAAAAAAAAAAACCACTCAGGGTATTGCTGAGGCGGCAGCCATAGCCTCAGAGATAATACTAGATGTGGCTTCCATGAAACCACCGCTGCCCACTCGCCCTGACCACAAATGCGTCCAGTTTTCACACCTCACAGGCTCTCTGCCACTGAATGACACAGTGAAATGTCACTTTATTCAGGAGAGATCTGCAGAAGAAAAGCGACCCTGGAATAAAATCTAGCCCCTCCACCCTTTGTCAATTAAAACAATCATAGTGTAATTAGGCCCATTTCAAAAGTTTTCTTAAGTAATTTGACATGCCAGCCACTTTACATTTCAGGTTTTTATTGGCTGAAAAGTCTGTCATGAAACACAAACACACCTGTCAGCAATTTAAAAAGGACGCTCTGGAGAACTGTTCAGGAAATAATATCTGTGCTAATTAAAACCACTAGTTAAAAGCTTCCTGTTCATTCCTCTAGTTGCCCTAAGGAGTGACCTTTTCCTCCCCTTCTTTGGGTTCATTTTTTCATATGCAGCAAATGTGCCCTCCCTGCCTGGGATGATTTCAGATGAATCTCAGTAAGAGCCACTTACGTCACTGCTCTTCCAGGTGGAGGCCTTGGCTTAGGGCCAGGTGGGGTGGAGGAAGGGATGAGATTCTCAGGCAACCTAGTTTCCAGGGATTACTGTGGGAGGGCTGCTGAGGAGGCTGTTCTGGCCAAACCACACATCCAATTAGGAAGCAAAGCATCATTTCAGAAGTGCAGTTGTTCCACAGAACACTTTGGGCAAAGGCAAGCTTTCCTTGTGTGAAAGAAACAGATTCCTGTGCTTACTGCTTGTTCTCAGTTCCCTTCCTCCCTGCTCTGTGCATATATTTTCCAAACCTGTGGCACCCAGATCTCTTCTTCCTGTTACTCCTCCTTAGCTGCTCCTGAGTCTTAAAGCAAAGCATTAGGTACTCACCCATGGGATTTCTTCAGGACTTTCCACCTTTGGTAGCATCAGGCTGGAAGGAAGGACCCGGGATTGCAGAAGGGTCTCTAGGTCTTCTTCCGCTAGACCGCTGGAAACTGAGTTGACTCTCACACATTTTTCAGTAGAGCCCAGATCCAAGTCCTCAAGAGTTTTTACAATTCTCAGTCGAGCTTCATTCTATAAATGTCAATAAAAATGTGTTTATCATTGAGGGGAGCACCATCAAATGGTCTATGAAACTGTTACATGGCTTCAGAGTCTGAGCACCATTATTCTATCTACACATTGCCTGTCCACCAAAAAAATATTTGAAAGAAGTCATCCAGTCTGAAAGGTGAGCAATTGACTTTCAGGCTTCATTCAGGATGGCTCTAACATAGCTGAGATGCACTGTAATGCACATTGGTGCACGGTAATGCCGTCTTTCTCATTAGCATCACTTCCCAATTGGAAGGGAAAAATAATTAACAGGTAATTTTTCACTGAGCATTAACTAAGTGCTAAGCATGGTTGTACGTTCTTTACCTGCACCTTCTCATTTAATAAACATAAGAAATTGGCTAACATCTGGATCGTGGCTGTCTCGTCTGTCAGCTTCTTCACATTAGGGGAAAAAGTAAGGATTTTTCTTTTTCCACAAGCATCATGTTTTTTTTTTTGTTTTTTTTTTTTTAACTATTTTATTGCAACTGAGTTGAATCTTGACATTCAATTAAGAAAATGCTCACAGGAATCTGACAATGCTTGCTACAAAAAAACCTCCAATTCCTTCAGGTGGAAGGCAAGGAATCCCTTCATGAAGTGCTTGACAAATACATTTTTTTCTTTGCCTTGACAGGCTTTGCTCCACAGTTCAGAGAAGCTGAAACGCTGGATGTCTGCCTCAGTATTTGAATTATCCCCAGAAAAACTATAAGAAACCAAGTATGTTATGTATTGGCTTTGGCTCTGGGGTGATGAAGATGGGGTGGGGGAGAGAGAGAAGTGCATGCAGAGGGTGAGGGTTGGAGTCGACAGAAGGCACTTGGGCCATTACTTCCTGCCAATTTCAGTTTCAAAAGCAAACTCCTCCAACTTGCCAACAGCCCTCAACAAATTCTCATTGTCAGAATGAACACTTATCAAAAGTAGATTCATTTGGGAAGGGTTTTTATGATACTAATAAAACTTTAAAGCTTCTCACTGCTGTTTTTTTTTTTTTAAGTCTTAATATGTAGCCATTTGAAAAGCAATACTGATCTAGGAAAATAGCAAATCAAAGTGGCAACAAAAAAGAATTATTTAAGCCAATATTGAGTCTAAGTTCCAGTCAACAAGACAACCCAGGACAGAAGATTTAAAACAGACAGACGTGGGTCTATGAGCAGGGAGAAGCAAGGAAGCTTCCAAATGTGGTCTGAGTTAAACAGTGTGAGGAAACAGCAGCTTAGAGTTGTCAAGTCAGATGGAAAGGGAAGCTAAGACAGCTTAGGACAGCTCTGTGAAGTCCTGATTTACAGAGTTCAACTGCCAATGATTAGGCAAAGCTTAGACAAAAGCAAGAGAGAGCTCAGACTAGCAAGTCAGAGATGATGCAGCCAACGATGGCTTGGTTCCATATCATACCTGTGTTTTATTCTATAGATAAAAAACTCACCCACTTGCTCTCCCACATACTCTTTATTACAGCCATTAAATACAAAAATCTTTTTTTTTTTTTTTTTTTTTTTTTTTTTTGGTGAGACAGAGTCTCACTCTGTCACCCAGGCTGGAGTGCAGTGGTGTGATCTCGGCTCACCGCAACCTCTGCCTCCCGAGTTCAAGCAATTCTCCTGCCTCAGCCTCCCAAGTAGCTGGGATTACAGGTATCTGCCACCATGCCCAGCTCATTTTTATATTTTTTAGTAGGGACGAGGTTTTACCATGTTGGCCAGGCTGACCTCAAACTCCTATCTCAGGTAATCCACCCGCCTCAGCCTCCTAAAGTGCTGGGATTACAGGTGTGAGCCACCACACCTGGCCCTAAATATGGAAATCTTAAAGGTGAAGGGCAGAAGTTAGCGCAGTATCTTGGCTCTAAAGCAGGCTAGAGCTGCTGGGAGAAATACTTCCAGCTCTGGCCGGGCTCAGTGGCTCACATCTGTAATCCCAGCACTTTGGGAGGCTGAGGCAGGCAGATCATGAGGTCAAGAGATCAAGGCCATCCTGGCCAACATGGTGAAACCCCATCTCTATTTAAAAAATACAAAAATTAGCTGGGCATGCTGGTGCGCACCTGTAGTCCCAGCTACTTGGGAGGCTGAGGCAGGAGAATTGCTTGAACCCAGGAGGCGGAGGTTGCAGTGAGCCGAGATCGCGCCACTGCACCCCAGCCTGGAGCCTGGCGATAGAGCAAGACTCTGTCTCAAAAAAAAAAAATTCGCTGGGCATGGTGGCAGATGCCTGTAATCCCAGCTACTTGGGAGGCTGAGGCAGGAGAATCGCTTGAACCCAGGAGGCGGAGGTTGCAGTGAGCAGAGACTGCACCTTTGCACTCCAGTATGGAACACAGTGAGACTCCATCTCAAAAAACAAAACAAAAAACAACAACAACAAAAACAAACACACAAAACCCAAAACCTGAAATATTTCCAGCTTTCTGGAAGGCACATTTAGATCCACGGCTGTGGAGAGCCTAAAGCATCTTACGCTCTGTGTACCCTATGCAGATACAGAGTCCAGCAGATTTGCTGGAGCTTGTCCACATAACTTCCAGGTTCCTTTTTAATAGCTAAGTCAGCCTTGCAAAGACACTACTGGGCAGTGTGAATGGAAAATTGAAGGGAAATCACTATTTTTTAGGCCATACTGCATTTTTAAAACTTGAATTATCTGAGTCGTCATCTCCATCCCCTCACCTGCATGTGTGTTCAAGGACGCACAACTCCTGGCCACGTCAACTCCCTAAATTGTTCATGTTGGTTAGTAGCAAACAAAATCTGATCTCGAAGCTGTTGGGTTTCACTTGGATTTGAAGAGACTGTTTGTTCAAAGCTCATGTTCTAAACCTGTTTGTGATTTTTATCTAAAGTCAGATTGCCATGGTTTCAGCACATTCCAGTTTACTTAGCAAAATTCAGCCCTTGTGAACTTGGCTGCAAATGAAGTACCTAACTCCAATTTTAGGCATAATCTGATTAGTACTTTTCATATTACAATAACGAGCAGTGAATACTCAGCATTTTAAAAATTTTGGCACAGAATGAAAACCAAGCTCTTTCCACTTCATCATTCTGTACATTTCCAAAAAAGAGATGATGGCTTTTGAGGTATATTGCCACACGACACCCTTATTAACGGTCTGTTGCTTGTAACAATTTACATAAACCAAGTGTGCATCCTCTGGTATATATCCCAAACACCCAACAACTTCTGTGAATTTGCTCCAACCAACAAGCATGTTGAATTTTTTTTCTTTTTGGTATTTTCAGGGTGAAATATGTGACTGTGCTAGCAAACACACCCCTGCCATCTGTTGGGTTGAGAGGAAGGCAGTTTCTAAGAACAATTAAGTTTAGTTCTGGCTGTTCAGTTCGAGAGAGTCACAGTCCACCCAGTTGTGGAAAGAAAGAAATTCTGTTGATTCGATTCTCTCCTTTTGCCCTCCCTCTCTGCAACACACACAGTACTTCTTGCTCACAGCGCTCTTAGCTCTCTCTCATCTCCACCACCTCGTCCTTCACGCTTCACTCTTTCCTTCTTTCTTGCTCTCTCTCTTTGGCTCCTGGTTGGCTGTGACCATCCCTCCAATATCCATCTTAGGTGGATTAGCAAGAGGCTGCCTGGCTGACCCCGGGTCTTGGAAGGGCTCTCAGGGTGATCTGCTACGATTATTGGGAGGTAAGTGCTTCCCGGAGAAAAGCGAAAAAGGAAATTAAGGTAAAAGAGGCCACCCCAAAAGGAGCTTTTATGGGAACTTTTACATCCTGGGAGCAATACAGGTTGTTTAAAATGAGGTTTGCGAGGGACTGCATTCTAAATGTGTTAACGCTACAGGGCAGCCTTGGTGAGCCCTTCTCACTGTGGACTTAACTTGTCCCCCAAGATACGACAAGCTGGAAACGACTGAATAATGGAATTAAGGCTGTTATCAACAGTTACATTAGACCTTTGAAGAGACTAAATACCATAGTGTGTTCTGGATCTTGTTTGATTCCAAAGGTGGACTCTGCCCAGGTCACAGAGGAAGGTGGCACAGATTAGAATCTTTGCAGGTCCCTGGTCTAAAAAATGGTGTTCCCAAAGTTGCCGCATTCAATCGATATTTCGTGCCATGCTGCTCAGTGCAGTGGACCAGTGGCTAATAAACTTGTCCTTATCTATAAGCCACCGTATTATGTGACTGTGTCTGGGCCAGGAACCAAGGCATGCTATGATTTCAGAGACTGGATTCCTATCACCTGGGGAAGAGACATGCTCTGGTGACGTAAGAAAGCAGAGAAATCAACCATCACCGAGACCTGCAGACTCTGAAATTAAAGTAGAAAATATGCGTGCAGTTGGTTCAATTGGCACCCATTAAAGCTAATAACTAATCATCCTCGCAAGTTTCTAGCTCAGAATGATCAAATCTGCAAAGAAAACAACATCCGTCCACTTTTACACTCCAGTGGAAGAGGTGGTCCCTCGCGGCAGGGCGGCACAGTCTCGCCATCTGGAGAATAAATCGAGTGTGAAGTACAGTATAGTTTGGGACCAAGCTCCGTGGCGGCAGCTCAGCAGTCAGTTCATTAGTTCCAAACTTCCAGGGATTAGAGCGGCATCAATTCTACTGTCGGATAGGATGAGACAGACAGGATACGAGATTCAAGGGGGATTGTGACAACCAAGAGGAGCCCCTTGGGCTTATTTATAAAACTACAAAGTATAAACATACCCAAATAAGTGCCTTAAATAATAGCATTATCACAGTTTCATAACATCTGAATTATCACCTTTCCCTTTGCCTCCCAGCCCCCGACTCAAACCTTGAATGTTAACGTGTAGTTGTTTTCAGAGGAAATGGCCGAGACAGCCCTGGGTGCAACAGGAACAAGGAGAAACCTATGTGCGACCCAAGATCTGGTAATTAAGAAATACGAAAGACTTTCCATACTCCAGGGAGAATCCACAACATTTGTGATTAATGAAAAGTACAATTAATATTTTCATCCTGCAAA